AACAACAACAACTGATTTTCCAAGAGGTCATCAATGAAAACATTTCTACAAACTATGAGAGTGTTGCCATTTATATGTTATAATGATAGAAGAATAATGTAGGGACTAAGCAAATAAAGTTTATATAAACACTGAGTATTGTTACCAGAATATTACAAAGCAGATGGATGGACATATGTGCTTAATTTTAATTGTTCTAAAGATAATATCTAAATAATATGTATTAGGCCAAAGTTATTTAAATGTATCATTGAACACACTTACATGTTTTCCTCTTACATATCTAAATCTCTTCTGAATTTTCCACTAATATATTGAGAAATTTGATAAATAGTACCAATGATAGTGGTGGTGTGCCATGGAGTCAGTTCCGACTCATAGCAACCCTGTATAGGATTTCCAAGGCTGTAAATCTTTATGGGAGCAGAAAGTCTCATCTTTCTCCTTCAGAACCACTGGTAGTTTTGAACTCCTGACCTTGAGGTTAGCAGCTCTACTCGTTATGTTAATCAAATAATTATAGGATATCTGATTCAAATCTAACCATGTTTTTAATGTCAAAATGTCTTCTACCACCTCCCTGACATGAAATTACTTGGACTCTGAAAGGAAAAATGAGAGATTTGCTCTTTCTTGTGATTGGCTGATGGTCTGCAGAACAGTCTGGGTCTTGTGACCTTTCACCAGCATCTTAAGCAACATCAAACTTAAGCCACACCTGTACCAGAGCTCTTCAGATGTTTAAAAATAATAAGCATGCTTTCCCTCAGTCTTAAAGTGGAGCGATATTTCAGTGTGAATTAAATTAATATGGCTATAAAATAAAATGACTCCAAGAAGAATGGAAATGGGTCACCTTGATGAATGAATAATTCCCTGATGTATAAGTAAAGGATGCTAAAGATATCTCAAAGTATATGGAATTTCAATCCTGAATGAGAAAGAAAACGTATACCACTGATTTTAGGAAATTGGGAGCGAGTTGGAATAATGGGACAATTTCTATCTCTGAAGAAGGACAGGACATCCCATGAAATTCTTCCTTCCCATAACTGAATTGACCAAAAAGCATTTATTATTGAAGTGGAAAGCAAGAAACTCTATCAGGTCTTCATTGTTCACTTGTGTTGTGAGAAGAAATTGAAGTTTTCATAGATTTCATTCTTTTTGCATCAACAACCAATGCCCACTGAAACAGCAGTGAAGAAACCAAATGAATGACATATTGCACTAGGCAAGTCAGCTGCAGAATACCTGCTTATCACTTTGATGGTTACAGTGTGCCTGATCCAAGCCATGGCCTATTCCGCTTCCTCTTAAGCATGCCAAAGCTGGACAATGGAAAAAGAAGACAGAAGAATTGATGCATTGTGACTGTAGTATTGGTGAAGAATATTAAATATGCCATGGACTTCCAGAAGAAGGAATAATCAGTCTTAGAAAAATGCAACTAGATTTTTCCTTAGAAGCAAGACTAGCTGAACTTTGTCTGGCTCACTTTGGGCATGTCAACAGGCAAGATTAATCACAGCAAAGGACATCATGTTTGGTAAGTGGGAGGGTCAGCAAAAAAAGGGAAACCCTTCATGAAATGGATTAGGATAGTAGCTACAACAATGGACTTGAGTATACCAGCCTATCAATGATCATGAAGATTGCACAGGGCCTGGTAACATTTCCATTTGTTAACCATGAGTCAGCATGAATCAGCGCTGACTTGACTGCAACTGACAATATGTCTGAACTGCAGCTGCGGCTGCTTTGACTTGAGTCGAGCGTTCTGCATTGTTACGATGACAGACTCCAAACCAAATGGCTAACTCCGTCATCTTCTGGGAGAGAAAATCCCAGATTTCTTGAAAGATCAGCAAAGCTAAACTCATAAGTTTGCTTTCTCATTTTTCAAATCTCAGACTTTCACTCAGGTACTGTTCTATCTAAATGCCAAAACATGCTTGATTTGCAGTTTCTGAGGCCTGGGAGAACCAGTGTGTCTTTCAGCCGAGGTAGTCTCCCATAGCACACTAATTATATAATTAGGGAAAATGAGTTGGTACCTTGATTTTTTGGCCTCCTCCCCTAGAGTATTTTACTTTAAAGTTTATCGTCTTGTTCCACCATTAATACTTAAATAATAAATACAAAAAAGCTAGGAGAACTCATTAAGGAATGGCTACAAAATACTTTTTTTAAATCTGTGACAAATACAGTTTACAGCACAGAGACAGGAAGGAGGGACCAGGAGTCAGCAAGATTAATCCAGAGAGAAGACCTGGTGATCAAGATAGTGACAAACATAAGAAAAACAATTCTCCAATAACACTGTTGAATAAATTGAATAAGGATCTTGTCAATCCCCTGCTCA